TCTAGAACCATCTTAATGGGCATGTTCCAACTGTCACTTGGCGAAAAAAAAAATCACTAAAGATCAATCTCTACAGCAGGTCTTTTGGCACAAAACTAGTTGTATCATTCTCTCCAACTGAGCCTTTGTTGGGGGGAAAAGGCCTTATCAAATTCCTTGGACATGAAGTTACTGTTGGAACTATTCTCAAACTGTGCTGTATAGCGCCATGGAAGGATGTCCAGCGTTAAAAGGTCAGGAGTGGCCTTCTAGTGACTTAGATCATCTTAAAATTGTTGGAAGTGAGAGGTTTATAATACTATAAAAGCTTTGGGTCTTCTATACTTTTTGTTAGAAGAATCCGTGTGTTGTTAACTAAGCCACAATTTCCTGATGTAATAAACAGACCAAAACTGAGAGACTAACCCAACCCTCACCCCATCCTGGACTTAGATTCAAAGTGTAGAAGTGAGTCATTCAAACTGTGGATATAGAAGAGAAAATGGAGTGTGTAAAAGGCCAGGTGGAAACAATGCATTTATTTCTTATGAATAAATATCTATGCTTGGCTAATAGTTAATGTCAAAAAATTACTGTTATAAAATTCAGCCTTATATTTTAATCTTGTATGTAATTTTCTTTGTTGACCAAGTAGAAGAATATAGGTTTTCAAGTAAAAATATACTAGTAGAGAATATACATTAAATATATTTAATGTGACTCCTGTAGAGGAACTGTTTAAGTGAAACCCAAAGCTAAAAATGTGACAGTTTTAATGCTCACTCTTCCTAAGATGGCTATATGAAGCTTAGTGATATCAAAATAAAACATATGCTGTGATAATAAAATTATGCTTTACTCATAAATATATATTATATATATTATAGTACATATCTTAATTCATTTATATATCCATAAAAATAGAGAACTTATCTAGACTATCAAACAGCATTTAACTTGGAGTGCCTGAGTGGCTCAGTTAGTTGAGCATCCAACTTTAGATTTCAGCCCCAGGTCACGATCTCAGGGTCTTGGGCTCCACTGAGGAAGTCTGCTTGCAATGCTCTCTCTCCCTCCCCCTCTGCCCTTCCCCCCACTGGCATGCACATATCCTCTCTCTCTTTCTAAAATAAATAAACTTTCTTTAAAAAAAGCTTTTAACTACACTTTTAAATTTTACTTTAATAAATGTTAAGTATAGGGATCCCTGGGTGGCGCAGCGGTTTGGCGCCTGCCTTTGGCCCAGGGCGCGATCCTGGAGACCCGGAATCGAATCCCACGTCGGGCTCCCGGTGCATGGAGCCTGCTTCTCCCTCTGCCTGTGTCTCTGCCTCTCTCTCTCTCTCTGTGTGTGACTATCATAAATAAATAAACATTTAAAAATAAATAAATAAATAAATGTTAAGTATAATTCTCTAATGCTCATTTATAAAGATCATTCTTATTTTATGTTAGAGGTGTATAGTATAGATGTTATAAAGTTGGAATCTCCAATGTACTTCTGTAGAAATGCTAAGGTCTAATTTTGCTCCTCTTCTTCAAGTGCATTGAACAACTTGCTCTCTTTATAGAATATATACTTGCTGTTACCTCCTATTTTGATGGAAGAGCTAAAGCCTTTAGAAATGAAAGTTTAAACACATTTATATAATATTTTAAATTCTCTCGGTTGTTTAAATTGCATTTTTCTAAAACAGGAGATCTTTTAAGTGTTTTTGGTAGCATCTTAATAAGAAATAGTCTCTTCAGTGGAAGAGAAGAACAGAGAGCAAGAAGAGTTTCTAATTAATTTTATATTAAAAATAGTAGCTTGACATTTACTTCTTTGTCCTTCTCCAACTGTCTACAAAATCTTGCTTTCTACATTATGGTAATTGCTTTAAATTGGCAGTCATTTGCACCATGTATGTCACTTTGAAACTTGTAGACATGTTTATTTGCCATAATTACCTGATTTTAGAGATATTAAAAAGCCGAAACTCTAGTCCCTAGTCAAGCATATTTGAGAACATAAAATATATAATGAATAGAAGTATAGATTTCAGTATTTAACCATATTTGCTTATATACAACATATTTGTGCCCACCCACTATAATGTATGTGTGTGTGTGTCTGTGTTTCTATATCTATAAAATAAGAGTGCTGAACGATAGTTGTAGGACTTCTTTTTATTTTATTTTATTTATTTATTTATTTATTTATTTATTTATTTATTTATTTATTTATAGTTGTAGGACTTCTTATAGAAAAACGTAGAACTACTTTATACTTGGCTGATAACTCAAATTCCAAAGAACATATTTCTAGGTAATTCATTCGGTGACTTTATTTCTCTTAAATACTGTTGGATTAAGTTGCTTAAACTTTGGCCTGCAATTTTTTTTTGTCTTCGCATTCCTTCTTCATGATTTAAGCAGTATTAAAAGTTTAGAGCAATAAAATCCAGCAAACATATCTTATTGCTAAATAATGCCTTATCTTCTTAGAGTCACTAGCTACGTTAGCTAAACCTACTGTAAACCCTCAAGTAATTTCAATATCTCGTTTTGGGAACATTTTTATCCAATGTTTATATATATATATATATATATATATATATATATATATATATGATATAACTTTTAAATTTGTGGCACTTATCCTTTGACATTCTGCAAAGGAAGCATGAATTAATCATTGAGTTTGTCCAGCAAGAGGAGAGGTATCGTACTGATACCGTGAGCTTCCATTGCAGCACACGCAGCTGTTTCTGCAATTACAACACAGGAAAACATCCCCACAGCTAATTCATTCCTGCTTGCTGAGTCCCCAGTCTCTTAAAATTCTAAGTCCTAATAGAACAGAGATGGATTCTACGTGCATGTAATGTTGATTCCGTTATTTCATTTTCTGAAAATATAGAGGTTACTGTTAGCATCAAAACAAACTTGGACCACGGTTATTGTCTTTTGAAAGCATTTACAAGAAATAGTTTAATAAGCCAGTGCTGTTGTTACCAAAATTACATTTTATTAATTAAGAATCACAAGTGAGGGCAGCCCGGGTGGCTCAGTGGTTTAGCACCGCCTTCCGCCCAGGACCTGATCCTAGAGACCTGGGATCGAGTCCCACGTCGGGCTCCCTATGTGGAGCCTGCTTCTCCCTCTGCCTGTGTCTCAGCCTCTCTCTCTCTCTGTGTCTCTCATGAATAAATAAATAAAATCTTTAAAAAAAATTACAAGTGATTGTATATTTACAAAAAAAGTCTAGCCAGAAAACAAAGGAGAATGATTTAATTACTACTTTATAATAGTAAAGATCAGTTCAGAAAGAGAAAACATTTGTTAAAGAGCTATGGTAGATTTTCTTTGAATGCTGCCCAGGAAAGAGATTTTATGTGAAGTACTATTGGGAAGCTTCTCTCAAATCCAGCTAGTAGTGTTATTGACTGGTTGTATCAGCTTTGTGGCTCATGTGCTTTTTCCCTCTATTTTTCCCCTGTTTTCTACCCTTGATTTGGTAAGCAGCATAAAAAGAGAATCCTGTCATCTAATTATCTGGTATCTCCTTTCACCAAGGAAAAGATTTTTGAATGAAGTAGATGCAATAAATGTTGATTACATAGGTCATTTATTCAGGCAAGATTGGAAGCGTGAAGCTTCATCGAGAAGATGAGAGTTAAAAAAAAAGAAGAAGAAGAAGATGAGAGTTACTAAGAGCAGAATACACAATTCCATTCTCTCTACTTCTTTGCAATCCTGGAAGTTACAAAGAATTAAATACTGTAATGCTGGGGGATGAGTAGGAGTAGGAGGCATGGAGGACCCTCAGATTTGCCATGAGCTGACTGTGCAGCCTTGCTTTGCTTTGTAAAGGGAGGGAGTTAGACCAGTTGATTTTTGAATTGCCCTCTAGTTCTAAGACCAATTCTGTTTTAATGAAGGGCATCAGAATTTCCTTACACGTAATACACAATGCCTGGTACTATCTCTCTGAAATGTCTAAAATGTAGTACCTGATTTTATTCCTAGCTGAAATGTTGTGATCATATCCACAAAATGGACTCAAATCTTTATATATAATACACACACACACACACACACACACATATGTAAGGTTTATTTTACTTATTTGAGGGAGAGACAGGGAGAGCAAGAGAGAGAGAGAGAGAGAGAGAGAGAGAGCACAAGATAGGGAGCCTGAGCAGCAGAATGGGCAGAAGGAACAGGGAGAGAAGAGAATGCAGGCCGACCCCACCTGCTGAGCATGGAGCCTGACTGGGGTGGAGGTGGCTCAATTTTAAGACCCTGAGATCATGACCTGAGCCAAAATCAAGAGTTGAATGCTTAATCGACTGAGCCACCCAGGCACCTCAGGACCCATATTTTTAATGACATTAAAAAAAGATGTTATTAAATCTAGAAGTCTTTGTAATTTTTTGTTTGTTTTATACTTGTTATCTTTCTTCATTTTATCAGTATGATGTAATTTTACTTTTTCCTTGTCACTTTTATCAACTGTTGATAGTAAAATTATGGAAGCGGCTAATAGTTGTGAACAAGTCTTAATCACTGCATCCATGCTCTACAGAGATCAAAAATGCTCAATCCACACATAACGTTTTTATTTTGATGTTTGTGTGCCCTGTGTCACTTTCAGCATTGCTAGGCTCATGTATATTTGTGGAACATCCAACCCTTGCCACAGTAAATAGACTGCCACCTAATAAAGAGGCCACTAACACTCAGTGTTGTCAATAATGTTAAAACAAGCCTGCTTTTTTATTGCTTTCTTAAAAAAAAAAAGATTTTGTATATTTATTTGCAAGAGAAAGAGAACGAGCTGGGGGGAGGCAGAGGGAGAAGGAGAAGACTCCCCACTGAGCAGGGAACCCGACACAGGACTCCATCCCATGGACAGATCTCAATCCCAGACTCCTGGGTTCATGACCTGAGCCCAAGGCAGACACTTAACTGACTGAGCCACCCAGGTGCTCTATTTTATTGCTTTCTATCTCATCTATTTTCCATTTCTTTTTTAGAGTATCCTTGAAGATTAATCAGAGACCTTTTCATGCACCTATAAAGGTAGGGAAAAGAACATTTCTGGTTATAAAATATGTTGTATTTGTTTCAGCTTTGTTTCAATAATGTATTTATTGTGTCAGACACAGATAGAATTGATGTTGCTTATTCTGAATAATTAGAAAGTTTGTTGCATCCGCTTGTTCACTAAACTTGATATCATCCAACACATAGTATTTAATCATCAGTTTGAATTTTTCTTCCATACTATTATATACTACTATGGTTTATTATGTATTATTATAGTTTATGTTTTACAGTAGACAGGATTTACTTTCTTTTACATTTTTATATTACTCTCTCCATAATTTTAGTGTGGTTTGGCATACCACATACAACTTCTGTATCTCAAGTAGGCAATTTTTTAGTATATACATTTATGTATATTAATATATGTAATATATTTTTAGAAACTGAGATTCTCTTGCCTACCCTAGTTTCACATTTTTCTTGGTATTTTAAACCTGTAATTTTAAAAGAAACAACCAAAGTAAGCAAAAGTGTAATTAGCAATAAGTGATTTAGTAATATAAATATTAATTTGGCAGAATTTACTTCACCATTAGCTTTACTTAATAACAGTGCCAGAAAATGTGGCCCCTTTCTTGGCTAGGACCTATGTGAAGAGATAAATTTAGAATTTCTTCTCTAGTAAATACTTCTCTGATAATAGCTTAATTGTAGCTATTTCAAACTAAATTGTTTAATTGTGGTGAATCATATGCAAATTGTTCAGATGTAGGTCAACCTCCCACTCTCACATTCTAGCACCTCTTTTGTAAATTCAGGACAAATTGCTCAATGCCTAAAAGAGACAGAACAGTACAGATTAAAGACATAAGAACCAAAACAACAATAACATAAAAACCAACAGTGGACCAAGAGTCAGAAAGTTCTTCTAAAAATGGCAAGGCAGGTTGCATTTATTTATACCTTGGCTCATGATCTCTTATGCTTGCTGTGTGTTTGTACACAATAGTGTGCTCACTGCTCATGAGATCTGTGGCTGGCAAAGCATAGGGCCTCTAGGATACTAAGTTTCCTTATCTGTAAATACATGTGATATTACCTATCCTGTCCACTTATTGAACTGAAATGAGGATCCCGTAGAAGGAAGGTAAGATAAATGTGTGACTGCTCTAATCCCACATGGAAAGAACATGTTATTTTTGGTGGTCTGCTTCAGTGAAGAGCTGCGGGCCTCACTGACAGGAAAGAATATCTTGTGTTGCTCTGGGTGATACCAACTGAGATATACTCCAGTCCTAGTAACTAAAGAAGCTCTTTTATTTTTCCAGCTGTTTTATTATATTCTAATCTATAGTTGCCTTTGTGATGGAGCATTGTATCATTTTCTGATAAACAGTTGAGGTGTTATGATTCTATTCAGTTTTTATATGTTGCCTACTATACTTGCAAAGAAAAAAATATTTCCAGTTACTAAAGCATTGAAAAGCTATAAAGCAGGTTCATGAATTTGTTATTTTTTTATTTTATTTTTTTTATCTTTAGACAATTATTGCCCGTGTTTTTTTTTTTTAAGATTTTATTTATTCATGAGAGAAACAGAGAGAGAAAGAGAGAGAGAGAGAAAGGCAGAGACACCAGCAAAGGGAGATGAAGACTCCATGCAGGGAGCCTGACATGGGACTCGATCCCAGGTCTCCAGGATCACACCCTGGGCTGAAGGCGGTGCTAAACTGCTGAGCCATGGGGGCTGCCCTTATTGCCAGTGTTTTGATATATTAACAGAAAATAGTGAGCCTTGCTAGTTATTGATAAAAATCTATTTCGGCTTTAATTCTAATAAAATCAGAATTCTTCCTTAATGTAAAAATAATTTTTAGAATTATCATTCTTCATTGGAATTGATTGTCCAATAATTTGGATTTATATTTTTATATAATTTATCATTTTAAACATTTTCTATAGTTTACTCTGAATTAAATTATTTATCCATAAAATTATTGAACAGTTACTGAATTAAATTACTGAGTTAAAAAGTGGCAGCAATTTTTCTAATTTATAAAGTGGGGAAAATGGATGATATATACTTGTTATTTTTTTCAGTGTAAATAGTTTTGCTTGAATTGTTTAAAATTCAAAAAAGTAATAATTATACTAAACAGAAAGTGCTATTTCCCTCAAAGTTAGCTAGTGCTAAAGGTTTTGGTGGAGCATTGTATCCACCAATTCTTTCTTTATATGGATAACATTTTTCTTTATATATATAAGCATCAGTATCAATATGTGCATGTAATGTGTTTGATGCAGAAAAACCTGGGTCTGAGGACCCAGGGAGGCATCCCACAGGACCCGTCAAGAGAGTCCTTGGTAGCACACAAGATAGAAATCAAATCTGAGCCAGCAAAAGTAGAAATAGAATTTATGGACAGTGTTAAGTGACAGGTAGAGAAAAGCAGATGGAGTGTCTGGGAGACTCAGAAAGGAAAGCAGGATGAATCTTGCCATTTCTTGGGACTAGAGTTTATTCTAGAAAAGTCTCTAATATACGTATTCCTCTAAGAATCCAGGTAGTCCAATCAAAGAAAGTATCAGATGAACAATACGTGTTATTCCATAAATCACTGAAGATAGGGGTTTTGATGGCAGCATCAGCAGAGGTTTGTTTGAAGCTAATGTCCTAGAACATGTTTGGGATCTGAATCTTCTAGGGATTATCAGGTGTTTGGGGCTTTCTTCCCTCCCCCTTGAAGTGGGAACAGAGCTTCTTGGGCTTAATCAGAGGCAAAATATGGAACATGAGTAAATAGCACCTCTCAGAAAAACAGCAGAGATGGAGCCTTTCTAAGGTGGAGTCCCTTCAGCTTCCCTATCAGCTTCCTCATTTTCATACCAAATGCATGATTCTGCTTTTCAACCTTTTCATGCTGAACATGCTTCTAAGTCACTGTATGTTATCCATTTCATCCTTTTTAATGGCCACATGTTAGACAACTTTTTCCAGTGTACCATGATTTATTTAATAGGCCCGCTAACTTTTTTTTTTTTAAGTTTTTATTTTAGTCAGCACAAGTGCACTCAATCCCCTCTCACCTATTTCACCCATCCCCCACCCACCTCCCTTCTGGTAATCATCAGTTTGTTTTTTATAGTTAATTTCTGTTTCTTGGTTTGTCTCTTTCTCTTTCTCTTTTTTTTTTCAATTTTGTCTCTTAAATTCCATACATGTGGGAAATCATATGATATTTGTCTTTCTCTGGCTGAATTATTTCACTTAGCATAATACTCTAGAGCTCAATCCACGTGGTTGCAAATGGAAAGATTTCATTCTTTTTTCATGGCTGAGTAATACTCCATTGCATACATATACCACTTCTTTATCCATTCATCAGTTGATGGGCACTTGGACTGCTTCCATATCTTGGCTATTGTAAATAACGCTGCTATAAATATAGGGATGCAGTAACTCTCTTTGAGTTACTGTTTTTCTATTCTTTGGGTAAATAGCCACTAATAACCACTAATATCCACCATGTAATTGCATAGTGGATCATAGCATAGTTATATTTTTAACTTCTTGAGGAAACTTCATACTGTTTTCCAGAGTTACTCTACCTATTTGCATTTCCACCAATGGTGCAAGAGGATTCCTTTCTTTCCACACCCTTGCCAACACCTGTTGTTTCTTATGTTGTTGATTTTAGCCATTCTGATAGGTGTGAGGTGATATCTCATTGTAGTTTTTTGATTTGCATTCCCCTGATGATAAGTGATGAGCATCTTTTCAGGTGTCCGTTGGCCATCTGGATGTCTTCTTTGGAAAAAGTGTCTAATCATGTCTTCTGAGCATTTTTTAAATGGATTATTCATTTTGGGGGTGTTGAGTTTTATAAGTTGCCTATATATTTTGGATACTAACGTGCTATCACATATGTTGCTTGCAAATATCTTCCCCCATTTCCATAGGTAGCCTTTCAGTTTTATTGAATTTTTTCCTTCACTGTGCAGAAGCTTTTTATTTTGATAAGGTCCCAATAGTTTATTTTTGCTTTTGTTTCCCTTCCCTCTGGAGAAATAATGAGAAAAATGTTACTACAGCTTATGTCAGAGCAGTCACTGCCTGTGCTCTCTTCTAGGATTTTTATGGTTTCAGGTTTGACATTTGGGTCTTTAATCCATGTTGAACTTATTTTTGAAATAAATAAAAAAAATATTTGTTTTTTGGAATGTGATCCAGTTTCATTCTTTTGTGTGTTGCTATGTAGTTTTGGCAAAAGCCATTTGTTGAAGAGACTGCCTTTTTCCCACTGGATATTCTTTCCTGCTTTGTCAAAGACTAATTAACCATATAGTTGTGGGACCATTTCTGGGTTTTCTATTCTGTTCTATTGATCTATGTGTCTATTTTTGTTCCAGTACCATACTGTTTTGATTACTACAGCTTTTTAATATAACCTGAAGTCTGGAATTGTGGTGCCTCCAGCTTGGCTTTTCTTTATCAAGGTTGCTTTGGTTATTCAGGGTCTTTTGTGGTTACATACAATTTTAGGAATTGTTTGTTTTAGCTCTATGAAAAATGCTATTGGCATTTTGAGAGGGATTGAATTACATGTGTAGATTGCTTTGGGTAATATACATATTTTAACAACATTTGTTCTTTCAATCCATGAGCATGGGATGACTTTTCATTTCTTTGTGTTGTCTTCAATTTCTTTCATCAGTGTTTCATAGTTTTCAGAGTACAAGTCTTTCACCTCTTCAATTAGGTTTATTCTTAGGTGTCTTATTTAATCTTTTTTTTTAAATAGAATGAGGGAAAGCCTTTTTTAATAACAATCTTGGCAAGCATACAAAAGAATAATTCCCATTTGTACATCAAATCAGGAAATTAATGAGTAAAGAAAAAGTATTACAGTAAGGAAGCATTAAAAATATTAGGTAAGTAGACAGAAAGGTTAGGGAAAAGAAAAGATAATAATAGCAATGTTCATGCAGCTGTGTTTTAGGTAAACTAAAATTCTATTTCTTTTTTCAAGGTT